CTTCTGCTACTTCTACTACTTCTACCACTTGCTGCTGCTGCTGCTCCTCCTCCTCCTCCTCCTCCTCCTCGCACTCCAACTCCAACTCCAACTCCTACTGCTACTGCTACTCTACTGCTATTCCTACCACTGTAGGAGTGCTTGTGGATGCTGGATTACTTTACTCCTTTTTTGGACGCAGTCTTTGTCCAGCAAGCAGTGGCAGACAAAAGCACAAGGTTGCTCTTGCATTCAGTGGATGCGAAGCCATTCTTCGTAGGAGGGGAATCTTTTGTGTAATTAGGTGTCTTCCTTTCTGTTCAGAAATCCATAAACAAGGCCTGGTCGCTAGGGTAGTCCACGTCCTGAAGGTCCCAGGATCTTGCGGTTACGCAAGGTCACCAGAGACTGTTTGTCATCTGCCAATGCCCGAACCGTAGCCGGCCACCCGAAACCCGACTGCGAGAGTCTGCCGCCCAGGCCTTGAGACGGATTGTGCCCTCACAGGACACCTCACTGCTGGTCCGTTTTCGAAAACCTTTGACTGTCACTCTCATATCATGCAAGCTGAATGTGAATCTTGGCTCTTGCGCCAGCCGGGAGCAGCAGCAACATCAGTCACAACAGCAACAACAATGGCAAGACCTATTCCAGCGACCATCACCGTTATCATGATGATGTCGATGCTGCGACCGTGTCGGTACCATACTTTCCTGAGGCGATTATACAAAATCGACCTTCGTGGCGATTCGGGGTGTGGGCCAACTCAGGTGAGGGGGAAATCTAGCTTTCATCACAAAGAACATTAGATGCTTTCGGGTTCTAAGCCCTTTGAGCCCGAATTTCAGGAGATGCTCCACGACCACAAGCTCGAGTCCTACGCTCTGGCGCTACATCAGGCCGGGTTTAGAGGCTGCAGGCTCTGCGTCTTTTGGGGCTGGTCTTTGAAAAGACATACACGAGGCCTGCATCGAAGTGCCGAGGGCGCCAACATGGGAGCAGCTTGCCTGGAGTTGATCACGGACTGAAGATGCACGTTGCTTCAAACCCATGAGGGTCATTTTTGGCCATCTGGTGTTGTCTTTACTATTGTCGTAGTGGCTATCGCTATCTCTACCTGGACATTAGCCGCATGAGCTTTGAACAGATCCAATGGAAAGTGCTGACTTTGTGAAGTTGAGGAGGAAAGCCCTGACCCGCAAACTCCAAACCACAAGGCCTGCACCGAGGGCTTTCAGGTCCGAGCAGCCGAGAGTCGCAGCAGAGCGACAGAAGGGGAATCGTACTGGTCTGACCCTTCAGGCGGGATCCCAGAACCCTGCCTTTAAAACCTGCAGCATTGGACCGCTCTCCTCAGCATCATTTTGCTGTGCATTCTTATGACTTCGCTTTAAAAAATGATACGCTGTAGCAGCATCATCTGGTTGGTGCCTGTATGACCAGCATCTTTAGCTGAACGATGCAGGCCGTGGCATTGAAATCCTCCTCCTTCTTTGGAGCTCCCCGCAACTTAAACCCAAACTGCACGGATCACACTTTGCTCGCCGGCTCCTAAACCACACAAGCAAGTTGGTTTTTGTGTGTTTGTTGGAGGGTGGGGGCGGGGAGTGAGTAAAAGTCGGCTCACCGAGGTCCTTCGATCAACGCGAGGTGTGTGCTTGCTGCGGTTCCGACTTCGCCTGGGCTGCTTGACCGGGAAAATGTTGGGCGTTGAAGGAGTCGCAGGGTGGGGTTATGCGGTATAAAATCAGCCTTAGCGAACCACAAAGCTTGACGGGCGCTCTCAAGCCCAAGGCTTGAAGAATGCTTCGAGTTGAGGTACTGGAAGAGGTTTTAGCAGCTTAGCACGCAAGCTCTGATGACTTGATCCCGAGGCCTTCGTTCTCCAGAGCGAGGCACAGAAGATGCTCTCGAGGCAGATGCTCACGATGCCTAAGTCTGGTCCTTGCTAAGCTTAGGAAACCCTCATACAAGTACAGTAAGGTTCCCGTCAAGTGTGGTTTGATGGGATCTCTTCGCAAGCGAGCTGTCCCGTGACTTTTCCTGCTCTTTGCCTTGCCGATGAAGCTGCTTTTGTGCGGCCAGCGCTTCATTCAGCCTCTGACTGACGGTGACGCCACGGACTGTCAGTCGTGGCTTGCTGAAGGGAGGCAGCTTTGGCAGCTCACAGAACGTCCCCCGCAGACCTTGCAGTACACTCTAAGTGTTGCGAGATGCTCGGCGTCACAGTCGCCTGTGGATTCTTGAAGGCAGCATGGTGGCAGCAAGAGTTTGCTCGGATGGATGCGGCCTCCCGCCTCATGTTGACGTGGAGAATAGAACTTCAATGCGAAACCAACAAAACAATGGCAGTAAGAACAGTCATCACCAGTTTACGAAGAAGTAGAACCAGATCAACGACGGAATTGCCGCTAGTATTCTTGTCTTGCCAGTTGAACAACAGGTACAACCTCAGGTGATCAGGTTTTGGATGTGAAAGGCACTTTTGCTAATAGTGGCATGTCGTACCGGATCCATAGTAGTATAGTAGCATATAGCAACTTTACCTGTGTCCACAGGGCTAAGCTCATTGTTTCTGAAGAGCCACACACCCAGAGCAAGGCTTCGAGGTTTTCGTCGAGCATGTAGGCCTAGGCGGTATTCGCTGCAGCCGAACGAAGACAACAACGCCGTAGGTGTGAATGGAGCCCTAGATCTCGGAGCCATGTCCAATGAGGGGACATAGATTCGGCCAGAGGTAAAACAAGCTCAGACTCAAACGGGGCCGCACGCTAAGTTTTCCGCAAATCCGCAGATGCCCTACAGTTGCTCTAAACTATACGAACATTAAGCAGTCAAACCAGTCCTACACCTTTAACAAAACTTGCGCCTTAAAGCCTGGGACTCAACTCGTAAAGCCTGAGTCCATCTAAGTCCTAAGCCCTAAGCGTTAAACCCCAGACCCTTTCCCCCCAAGCCCTTTCCCCCCGAAACCCACGCTAGACACCACTGCCTGGCCTGCGGCCGCGTGGTGTGCGACGGCTGCTCGCGAAAAAGGCCTCGGCCTGCAGACCTCGGTGATCTTTTTTGCGCTTCGCTTGTGCTTGGAATAGCTATAATCATGGTAAGAATGTTAAAGGTAGTATTCGTCGGGAATAGAAATGGTAACAGTAATAAGTTAGGGCCCTGGATTTCAGGGTTATCTTGTACGGTTCATGGTGCTGTGACGAGGTTGTTGGTTGAAGCTTGGTATCCAGGCTGCCCTCTAGATCCTGCTGCTGCAGGATGGTCGAGGGTGATGCCTAGCTGCTGGGTCTTCTGCTTGGGCCAGACAATTCTGGTGCTGAATTTCTTTTTGGGTGTACCACGGGCGCTTAAGTGGATGCTCTTTGTCAGAGGTCGGCCAAGTGGGCAGCCTAAGAAGCTGATTTTTTGAGCCTCGATCACTGCAAGGAGTTGAACCCATAAGCTCCTGGACTCAAGGCATCGAGGGATGAAGGGCCGAAATGCGGTAACCTAGCATAGGAGCCCGGTTCTTTTTACTGATAGCGGAGACTTTCAAACCCCAAGCTCTTAGCCCTCGCTGCCCATAGCCTTGGTTAAACTCAAATCGTTCAACCCCAAGCCCATAGCCCCAACACACCAACACCCCAAAATCATCAGCCTAAGACCAATCCGGAACCCTTGAGCCTTATCTCTGGTACCCCGGAGGCTCGCGCACGCACATCTTGGCTTCACTGTCCCGGTGCGGACCTGCGAAACTTTGCTTCCAAGGGTTAAAGGTTTCGGGGCTTCTGTGGCGAAAGGGTTTGGGGTTTTGGGGGTTTGGGCTTGTTGCGAGCCCGTTGGCCCTAAGCGCTGTCGCTATGGCCAGACAGAGAGCCTACAGCCTCAGGGGTTGCTTCAGCTGGAGAGTCAAAACGGCTTTGGGCCGACAGTGACGACCACAAGGACAGTACTAAGACTGCTGATACAAGCGGAATTAGTGTTCGCAGTCGTTGCAGCAGCTAGATACATAGTCGTAAGCTGTAACTACTACTGTGCTAGATGCAATGGCCGTGGTGATAGTTGCAAGATAGGCAGACATAATCAGTAACGACTACAGTGCCGATGAACGAGCAACAACCCACAGGATAAAACAAAATCGGTTTTAATCTTCGTGAGAAGTACACTGGCAGCAGTAGTGAGCATGGTAGCCGCAGCAGCAATATCACCTCGGCAGTGACGCTGAGAGCCATCGTCATCGTCACCATCATGTTCATACTCAGATATTCAGCTATTTCAGCAACTCCGGAAATTCAGTTAGCAAACCACAACCTGCCTTGGCTCTCGTTTATGGAGGTGGTAGGAGTTAAATGATACGTGGGTCCATATCTGGGTTATCTAGGCAGAAATCCCTCTGTGTCCCAGATTTTCTTTACATGTTGAGCTGTTCTACAAACTGCCTACAGCTGGAACTTCAGAGCGAGCGTAATCATGTGAAACTACGTAAGCCGCAAGCTGGTTTGCTGAGGACAGCTGCGCTTTCGCGCAGTTCGAAGGGGCAGACGAGGTGCAGTTTTGGGGTTGGGGGGGGCGGCCAGCTGAGGCTTTCCTTTACTCTCAACACTCTGCCTTGAGGAAGATGGTTTCAAGCTCTGCCTTTCAATCTCCTCACAAAGCACTTGAAACTGCCGGTCCAGTCTTGCGAGGGCTTCTGTTGGAGTCCAGATGCTTTGCCTGTTGGGGACACGGTCGCTCTTAGAAGCCCCATGAAACACCCGAAGCACTGCTATGGGCCGCCCTGTACACTTGGACAACTCCCACCTACCCATCGCTTCATGTCATTGGTCCTGATCCCCGGAATGGCAGAGCCCAGAAGTGGTGGAAGTGAACTGAGCTTTCACCCATCAGCTCCAAGCCGTAGGCTAGACTCCCGAATCAGTGCACCCCCTCATCCCTTAAGATGCCCTGAGCAGCGCCCGAGTCCAGCCTCAGGCTGGTTCCCTGAGCCACACCGAGCCGAAATCGAGACAAGTAGGAGTCCTTGGGTTGGTTCCCTTCTCCCCGGAGGCGCTGGTGGCCTTTGCTGCAGAGGACTGGCTGTAGGATGCGTACTTCGGACCGTCGGGTCCGTGCAGGTTTGTAGCTTAGTAGCCCGCCCACCCCTTCCGCCACCACTTCTGATCCAGTCATGTTTAAACAAAGGAGGAAGCGGCAAAGCAAGCGGCGAAGGCAGTCTGAGCTCCCCGCGGGGGTCCAGCATGGAGATGGCCCGGACGGGGATAAGATAGGCTGAGCTTCTCCACCCGCAGAACTGTCCACGCGCAACATAGTGACGTGCATCTATTATCTGTGCTAGTACCTGCAGGCAAAAGCAAGTAGTGATGGGGACGGCCATGAAGACAGTGACCAGGTCGTTTTCGCAGCCCTAAGCTGTTACTGTTGATGTTGTTGTTGTTGTCGTTGTTGTTGTTGTTGTTGTTGTTGTTGTTGTTGTGGTTGTGGTTGTGGTTGTGGTTGTGGTAGTGGTAGTGGTAGTGGTA